GGCCTTGGTTTCAGCCTGTGGGTCTGGGCTCGTTATGGGAAGGGCAGGCACTGTCCTACTGTGGGCCCAGGCTGTGGGTACAGCTCAGCAGCTGGTGGGGGGAGCAGGGTGGGCATGGCCTATAGTCCTCCATTCAGCAGACACTGGCTGAGCACCTGTCTGTGCCCAGGCAGACCAAGTTCCCTGCCCTCATGGAGCTTCTTTTAGAGGGGACAGGGCATGGGCTTGGTAGACAATAAACAGAATTAGAATATATATTGTGTTAGAAAGTGATGGAGAGAGTGAAGAGAGGGTTTGCAGTTTTAAGAACAGTGGTCGGGGAAAACTTTGCTGAGGAGGTGTCATTTAAGGAAAGGAGGTGAGGGATTGAGTTACGTGGAGATCTGGAAGAAATGTGCTCCCTGCAGAAGGAATGGCATGTTCAAAGGTCCTGAGGCTAGCACGTGCCTAGAGTGTAGAAGTAGCAAGAGGTTTAGCATGGCTGAAGGGGCATGGTTGTGGGAGGTGGAGTCTGAGAGGTAATGGTGGGGTTGGGGGCCGGGGCCTTGTAGGTTCTGGCAGGGACCTGATGCATTCACTGGAGTGAGACAGGAGCCACTGGGGGATTAAGCAGAGCAGTGACCTGGTGAGACTTGTTTTAAAAGGCTCACTGTGTTGCTGTGTGGAGAACTGTCAGAGCAAGGGTGGACGCTGTTAGGTGTGAGAGATGACAGTGGCTCAGATCCGAGTGGTAGCAGCAGGTGGGGAGAAGGGCCCACGGGTGGAGCCGACAGTGTTCGCTGATGGATGGATATGGAGTCAAGAAGGGCGCTGAGGTTTCTGGCCTGAGCAGCTGGAAGGTTCAGTCGCCATTTACTGAGAAGACTAGGAGGAACAGGTTTGCAGGAGGGGGTCAGGCCCAGTCTCGGCCATGTCTGTTAGCCAGCCAGGTGGAGATGTCGAGCCAGCCACTGGTCGTGCGCGTGTGCAGTTTGGGGAAGAAGTCTGGGCCAGAGGTGCACACCTGGGCATTGTCAGCAAACGGGCATTCAGAGCCGTGAAATGGGTGCCATGACCTGGGCTGAGGGTGAGAGAACAGGCTGGAGGAGGAGCTCTGGCGGTCCAAACAGTAAGATCTCAGCAAAAGGAGACCGAGAAGGAGCAGCCGTGGGATCAGAGGAGAACCAGGAGAGAGTGGTGTCCTGGAAGGCCAGAGTGGAAGTTTCAAGGAAGAGAGAGCACTCGGGGGTGTCAGAGCTACTGAGGGCTCAAGGGCGGTTTGGATGGAGAATTGGCCATTGGATTGAGCAACATGGAAGTCACTGGTGACCTCAACCCAAACCAATGGGTAGAGGGCGTGTGGGGGGTATTTTTGCGAAAGTCTGAGTAGCGTGCCTGGAGGAAAGAAAGGGAGACAGGAGTGCAGACAGACTCTGGAGGTTTTGCTGTGAAGGGGCCAGAGAAATGGGGGTCCCCTTCCTCAGCATTCTGAGTAGGGTCAGGACCAGGTTAGAGGTAGTTTTGGGAGGGCTTTGGCAGGTCTCCTCAGCGCCCAGGGCCACTGGTGGCCTCTGCACTCTCCCAGGAGGCCACTCCTGCACGCGGCCCTTTGGCTGCCCCGGCCCACGGTTTCCACTGTCCCCCGCCCTGCAGTCCATGCTGCTCCTGGCCCCGAAGCTGAATGAGGCCAACCTCAACGTGGAGCTGATGAAGCACTTCGCGCGGCTGCAGGCCAAGGACGAGCAGGGCCCCATCCGCTGCAACACCACCGTCTGCCTGGGCAAAATCGGCTCCTACCTCAATGCCAGCGTGAGTGCCCTGCACACGTGCCAGGAGTTCTGTCACTGTCGCGGTACCACAGCCGCCTCCAGGGCCGGCCTCCTTGTCTGTGGGCCATCATCCTCCCAGAGACCTAGGCCCTGGCGCCCCCAGCCCCGGTGTCTGAGGGGTGGAGAGAGTTGCACCAGGTCACACAGCCAGTAGGCAGGGGATCTGGGACCTGACCCACTGTGCGTGTCCCCTCAGCCAGGCTGTGTAAATGGAGACAGCTGCGGGCCTGACAGTGATGAACGAAGCAGGTCAGCAGGGCCGGTGGGAAGGGAGGCCCAGGCCTCAGCTCCTGTGGCCCTGAGGCAGCCTGAGCCCAGTAATCTGGGAGGAGAAGCCATGATCTAGAGTTTTACATAAATTCTCCTCGTTTAAGTTGTTAGTGATTTAGTCACATTTTTCAGGCTCTGGGGGTGGACAGCCTCTGCTCTGGGAAGTAAGGCCTGGCAGTTCCGGGCCCCAGTACTGACCCTACACTCAGGAGCCCTCTCCCTGCCGCACCCAGACCAGACACAGGGTCCTCACCTCCGCCTTCAGCCGGGCCACTAAGGACCCATTTGCACCATCCCGGGTCGCCGGTGTCCTGGGCTTCGCTGCCACCCACAACCTCTACTCAATGAACGACTGTGCCCATAAGATCCTGCCCGTGCTCTGTGGCCTCACCGTGGATCCCGAGAAATCTGTGCGGGACCAGGTGAGGCACTCCAGGGCCGGGCCCTGGAGGTGGGGCTCTGGGGGCTGTCTGGGCCCTAGCTGGCCTGGCGGGCTCACGGGAACCCTGGAGGCCCCAGCTGTGCCCCTTGCTACCCCACAGGCCTTCAAGGCCATTCGAAGCTTCCTGTCCAAACTGGAGTCTGTGTCAGAGGACCCCAGCCAGCTGGCCGAAGTGGGTGAGTGGCCCACACTCGTGCTCCCTCTTTGTCCTGCCACATCCTTGACTGTCACATGTCGTGGCCCTCTTCCACCTCGTTGGAGTATCTGAAAGCTAGAAGAACCTTAGAGCACAGACCTGACACCATTCCTCCCCCTCCCCCCATCGCACAGATGGGAGAATGCAGGCCTGGAGGAAGGGGGGTCCACCGCAGGGGGGGTCCACCGCAGGTCGCTGTGTCTCAGTTATTGCCCTTCTGTCACCCACCCCACGGGAGCCTGAGGTGCCTATTCCTGCTTCTCTCCATCACTGCCCAGAGAAGGACGTCCATGCAGCCTCCAGCCCTGGAATGGGAGGAGCCGCAGCCAGCTGGGCAGGCTGGGCCGTGACAGGCGTCTCCTCGCTCACCTCCAAGTTGATCCGTGCACACCCCACGGCTGCCCCGGCTGAGACCAATGTTCCCCAGAGACCCACGCCCGAGGGTGAGTGTCCCGGACTGGCTGCAGCAGTGGCTGAGAGGACTTGGGGGAGCTGGCACCCAAGAACTGTTACTGTCTGGGGTGGTGATGGGGACATAGGGGACGACGTAGGGTCTAGTTCCCTCTTGAGCTTCCTCCACCCCCACCAGCAACATCTGTCCTGTTCTGAGACCTTCCTGGGCCCAGTGTGTGGGAGCTCAGTGAGTCTCTGCTCCCCAGGTCTTCCTGCCCCAGCCCCCACCCCTGTCCCTGCCACACCCACGACCTCAGGCCAGTGGGAGACACAAGAGGAAGACAAGGACACAGCAGAGGACAGCAGTGCTGCTGACAGATGGGATGACGAAGACTGGGGCAGCTTGGAGGTGAGTGGGGCTGAGGAGGCCTTCCTGGGGGATCCCAGCTCAAAGGTCACAGGCTGCCATTTGGGGAGCTCATGTGGGTGTGGCTGGAGTCCAGCCTGTCTGCATCTGCACAGCATCCCTGGCGAGCAGGTGTCATGGAGCAGCCACTGTGGGCCAGAGCCGGCAGCTGAGCCCCAACTCAACTCCAGGGGCCCCTGGGAGCAGGGTTGGAAATGAGAGGCCGGGCGGGTGGTGGTTGGGGCAGTGCACTGGTCTTTCTTCCTCTCCTCCACTTCCTGTGCCTCCTCTACCAGCTCCAGTGCCCACCCAGCACCGGTGGCAAACAGAGAGAGGCCGCTGCCGGGCCTAGACCCAGACCCCAGTCCTGCCTGAGGGTGGGGCTCAGGGTGGGCTGAGGATGGAGTGGGGCTGCCCTGCAGGGAATGGGGGCAGAGCTCTGGGCCCAGTTCTCCATCTGGCTGACAGCGGTCTCTGGCCCCTGAGGCTGTGGGGAGGGGTGCGGGGCATGTAGATCTCATTCCCCAGCCTCACAGAGGAGTGATGGCTGGCCAGGTTCAGTGTGTCCACTTTATAGTTGGGAAACAGGGTCTGAGGCGCAAATGAGATGGAAGGCAAAAGAAGAAAGGGTGGAGGCCATGGCTGGGAAGGGGCTGGGGGGCTTCCTTGCCTTTTTTGGGGATGGGATAGGAGGGGGTATGGTCATACTTTCCTTCCCACACTGCAGCAGGAGGCTGAGCCTGTGTTGGCCCAGCAGGACGACTGGAGTACTGGGGGCCAAGCCAGCCATGCTGGGCAGGTGAGTGGGGTTGGATAGGGTGTGTGTATGCGTGGGGAGTGGGCTGGCCCCTCCTGGTCTGGTGCTACCCCCCTCCTACCACTTTTCTGCAGACCAACAACCCTGACCACAGATCCTCTGAATTGGACTGGAGCAGCTGGGAAGCTGAGGGCTCATGGGAGCAGGGCTGGCAAGAGCCAAGTCCCCCCGAGCCGCCCCCTGAGGGCACACGGCTGGCCAGCGAGTATAACTGGGGTGGCCCGGAACCCAGTGACAAAGGCGACCCCTTTGCTGCCCTGTCCGTGCGTCGGGAGGCTGGCACCCAGGTACTCAGTGCCAGTGAGGCGGGAGGGTGCAGACCTGAGGTGAACCTCAGCTGGGAGGCCGCCTCCACTCCAGCCCACACTTCTCTTTTCAGCCGAGACGGGACTCTTGGGGCGATGACAACTGGGAAGGCCTGGAGACGGAGAGCCGTAAGCGTCCCCTGGGAGGGCTGACTAGGGCTACCCATCCTGGGGCAGGTGCGGGCTGGGAAGCTGAGACCTGGGTTGTCCTGCCACCCTCAGCCCGCCTCCCCTTCCTGCTCACAGGGCAGGCGAAGGCCGAGCTGGCCCGGAAGAAGCGTGAGGAGCGCCGGCGGGAGATGGAAGCCAAACGCGCTGAGAAAAAGGCGGCCAAGGGCCCCATGAAGCTGGGAACCCGGAAGCTGGACTGAACCTCCCATGTGGGCGCTCCCGGCCGCGGAGAGCAGGCCCCGCGGATGTATTTATTGTACAAACCATGCGAGCCCGGCCGGCCTGGCCAGGCGCATCTCACGTGTACATAATCAGAGCCACAATAAATTCTATTTCACACCCCCTGTGCTGGGCTCAGTGTAGCCCCTCCGAGGAGGCTGGGGGCTGGCGCTGCCCTGCGGAGGCCGTGCCCACCACAGACGTGAACATCAATTTGTTTCGAAAGCCAAGAGTAAACTGGCACGATCCGATTTATCAGTTTCTAGGAAACGCCCTCTGGGAGGAAGGCCGGCAGCGCCAGAGACCCAACATCCGCCCCTGAACTGGGCAGAGCCCGTATGGGCGCCCTCGGAGCACGGGGCGCGGGAAGGGGTCTGCGGGCCCGAGGCTGCCTGGGTCCGAGCCCTGAGTCGGGGCAGAAGCGACAGGCCGAGCTCGCCCCGAGTGTCGGGCGGAAACCCCACGGTGACGGCCGAGGTCCGGGCCGAGGGCGGCGTCAGCGGCGGCGCTGGGGCACGCAGGCCCCGTGCGGGCGGCTGCGCGCGAAGCCAGCTTTGCAGACGCAGCGGAAGGAACCGCTCGTGTTCACGCAGCGCTCGCTCTTGCACAGCAGCCCGCGCTGGTTCAGCTCTCGGCACTCGTCGATGTCTGGAGGTGCGGGTGACAGGTGCGGACGTCGCGACGGCGCCGGAGCCGCGCAGCCCCCTTAGCTTCCGGTCCCGGCGGGTTCCCCAGGGCCCCGCCCCCGCGACCCGCCCCACCCACGCCGCCCAGCTCACCGACGCAGCGCGCGCGGGAGGCGTCGAGCTGGAAGCCGCCGGGACACTCGCACACGGCGCCGCCGGGCCGCGGCACGCAGCGGCCGCTCACGCAGCGGCACTCGTCCGAATCCTCCTCCGAGCTGTCCTCTTCTGCGGCGGTCGGGAGAATACAGAGGTCAACACCCCCACCAGCGGAGGCCGCGGACTCCGCCTCCGTCCCCTCCCGCTGCACTCACCTCGCGGGGGCTTCCCCAGCAGCAGGGGGCTCGCGTCCCAGAAGGAATTGCTCTCACTCTGCGACGTCGGGCACTGGGACCCTGGGAGGGGCGGGGCGGTCAGCGACGCCGATGCACTCGGGCTCCCGCCCCCAAACTCCCTCCCGGCCAACCGCTCTCGGGCCGTCTCACCGGCGCCGCGCGGCGGGCACGGGCGGCACTGGGCGCCCCAACCGCGGCCCTGGCGACAGCAGCAGTCGTCGAAGGTGAGAGCGGGCCCGGCCAGGGGCCCGGCGCACATGCCGTCCTCTCCGCGCTGGCCCCAGCACACGTCCCGCCGCTCCGGGGCACGCTCTGCGGAGGGGAACCCGGCTTCAGGGAGGAGCCCGAGACAGAGACCACCCGTCCCCGCTCCAACCCACCCGCGCGGGGGCTGCGTCCCCGGTGCTCCACATAGCGGACTGGGCCCTGGAGTCGGCCCGGGACGACGCTCGCCCTCACCAGCCGGGCTCTCGGGGAGCTGGCAGTCGCGGCCAGAGGGCCCGGGCACCCAGGGCGGGCGGCACTCGCAGCGGTAGGAGCCCGGCAGGTTGACGCAGCGGCCAGGGCGGCAGGCTGCCGGGTCCTGGCACTCGTCCACGTCTAGGGGCAGCGAGGGGATGGGAGGGGGTGGCGGTCACAGCTCGGCCCGGGCCCCCGTCCCCTTTCTGTGTCCCCAGCCGGCAGGTCCGGGCCTCACCCATCTCCTCCGGGCTCAGACACTGGCGCTGCGCCGGGCTGTACTCGGCCGGGGGCGTGCAGGCGCAGCGGTAGCCGCCGCGCGTGTTCTCACACACTCCGTTCCGGCAGTTGGACTCATCCAGGCACTCGTCCACGTCTGCGGGGAGGACAGGCGCGAGAGGTAGGAACCGGCCCGGGGTCGGGAGCTTGTGCTGTCTCCCGACCGCTTTCCCACGGCCGCACTCACCCACGCACTCCAGCAGGTTGCCGTCGTAGTAGAAGCCTTGCTTGCAGTAGCACTCGTAGCCAGGCTGCGTATTCACGCACTTGCCCTCCTTGCAGATCTCCGCCCCGAACAATATGCACTCGTCGATGTCTGTGGAGTGACAAGCCGTGGGCACTCAGAAAACTCGACCAGCCGGGCCACTCTGGCCCCGCAGCGGGGAAGTGTGGGCGGGGCTTACCGCGGGAGGGGAGCAAACCCAGTGACGCGACGCCGACGTGAGAGTGATGGGGCGGGGCTTACTGGAGGGGCGGGGCTTACTGGAGGGGCGGGGCTTACGCCAGCGCCCGCAACTGACCTAGCAAGCTCACGCGGGATCGCGGTCCAAACCTCGGGGGACGGAGCCGTGTTGGGGCTTACCACGGTGGGCGGGGATGCCGTAGTTGACAATGTTGTTGTCCTGGGTGTAGCCCTTCCCGTCCGGGCAGAGGCTGTGGAACTCAGCTATCGAAGAGAGCGGACGTGGGGAAGGAAGGAGGCAGGGCTGAGCGCGTGCGTGCTGGCCGTCGGGCTCACGTCGGAGCACTCCGCCTCATCTCCCACCTACCCAGGGACGGGCCGTTCCCCCCAATCCATGTCCAAATGAAGAAACTGAGGCTCTGGGAAGGGAAAGGGCCTGCCTGGCTCCTGACCTGAGCTGTAGACTGGGCAGGGATAGATCTCGCAGTGGTCTCCCCAGCCAGCCCCCAGCGAGCAGCAGCACTCCTGCTGGGTGACATTGGTGGCCAGTACACTGTCGCAGAACACCGTGTCATCGAAGTTAAGGTAGCACTCCTTCTTGTGGTGGGGCTGCTCCACCTCTGAGGGGAGGGGAGGGCAGGTCGCGGTCCTGCAGATGGTCTGCCTGTCCGAGCTGCCCACCAACCTCATCCCTCTGCTCCCCCCATTCCCCACATTCCCTGGCTCCCCTCACTGCCCTGTGAGAGCCAACCCCCATCCTCAATGCGGCATTCAAGGCCCTCCTGCAAAGTCTGGCCCCAGCGGACTCTCCCAGGCAAAATTCCAGGGGGTGAGACCAAGATACATCTCTGAACCCCAGCTGCAGCTCAGGGTTGTCTGGTCTGAAGAGGGAGCCGGGAGGGCACTCACCCTCACAGCCATGCTGGTCCTGGGTGGGCGTGAAGCCCTCATCACAGACGCACACGTAGGAGCCCTGCAGGTTCTCGCAGGCCCCGTGGGGCAGACAGAGGCCCGGGTCCTGGCTGCACTCATCTATGTCTGCAGGAGCGAAGGGAGCAGGAAGAGTTGCTGGGGTAGGGAGGAACAAGTCAGAGGGAAACCGGCCCCTCTTTCCCTGTGGGGGGGTGCCTCAAGGGCCTCACATAAGTTCAGATCCTGAGTTTCCACTTTGATTTCAAAGTACACACAACAGGAAGTCCACTCCTGTCTGTCTGTGCATGCAGGGAGATGTGTGCACATTCACTGCATTATCCTTTATAAAGCCTTCAGTGGCTCCCACTGACCACAGAATGAAGTCCTAGCTCTCAGCTCGGCATTGGAGGACTTTCAGCTTGGCCTCCCAATATTTTTAAGTCTCATCACCGTTTACTCCAAACCACCAACACCCTCAACTCTATGTTACGGCACAGGTGTCTACTGTTCCCTCGAAACACAACTGGCTCCTTCCAGATTGCTGTGCTTTGCAAATACTGTTCTTCAGGTGTGGAATACCATCCCATGCTTTTGTCTGCTTAGGGACCTATTTATGCTTAAGTTCCAATTCAACTGTCACCTCTCTGTTGCAATTAGTCACCAGTCCAGACCTCTTCTGGCACCCAGCACTCTGAACTGTTAAGAATTAATTTACACATCAGCCTCCCCTAGCTGGGAGCCCTGGGTCATTGCTCAATAGCTAGTACACAGTACAGAACCTGGCCAATAGCAGGTTCTCAGTAAACTCTTGCTGGATGTGTGCATGTAAGGGTGAGTTGGCACATAGTGAGCACCACCTAATTACTGTCATTATTACTGTTACTGTTATTTAGGTGAAAGGGTGGAGGGATGAGTGAGTGGGTGGATGGATGGAAAGACAGATCAACAATGTGTCTAGGAGATTACCGCTCCCTGCCAGTCCTCCTCAGGAGCTCTCAGCCAGTGCCCGCATACCTTGGCACTTCCTGCCGCCTACCAGCCGATGTCCCTGGGGACAGAGACATCGGTAGGAGCCATTGGTGTTGATGCAGTCGCCCCCAATGCAGGCTGCAGGGAAGTCACACTCGTCAATGTCTGTAGGGGATAAAAAAGGTGGAAACTCAGGGGCTGACCCCACTCCCACAGCCCGAGGCTGTCAAGGCTTCCCGCAGAGTCCTGGGTCAGGCCCACACCCCATGCCCCACCTCGGGTCTGGATGGGGGCTGGGCATGGGAGTGCCTGGCTTGTTGACAGGTGGCCCCTGGGCTTGGGGCCCCGGCAGTGGAAGTCCTGGGGTAGGGAGGAACAAGTCAGCCCCTCAGCTCTCAGCCCCCCTCACCCTCACAGCGGCTCCGGTCCCTGGACAGATGGTAGCCAGAGAGGCACTGACACTGGAAGGAGCCTGGCGTGTTGGTGCAGATGCCGTTGTCACACACGTCGCCAGTCTCACACTCATCCACATCTGCAGGGCACAGGGGTTGTCAGAGGGCCAGGATGGGGTGGTCTCTGGCCTCTGCTACCTTTTTCCGACTCCTGCCCACGGCCTGGAGCACCAGAGCTGAGGCCAGTACAGCTCGAGAGAAGCATGGACCCTCACCTCACTTCCGTGTGGCACACCATGACCTGGTGGCCAGGCCAGGTGCTGCCAGAGGCCCTGGGCCATGTCTGATTCCAAAGAGCTCAAGCCTCCCCATCTTCCATCCATCCTCACCAAACAAGAGGCCACTCCTGCATTGCTTCTTCCCATCCTGCCCTGGGCTTTTGCCCCAGCAGCTTGCATCGCTGCTCTCGCCCTTCCTCCACCTGCCATGGCTCCCTTTCTTCCCATGTAAACAAGCTTCCCCATGTCTTTGTCCTTCTCACAGAATAATTTCTTCTGCTTGTGCAGTAAAGGATCTTGGCTCTGCCCTGAGAGCACACTTCTCTGCAGTCCTTCCTAGTGGGAGCTGGTCCTCGCCCAACCCCAGGCCTTTCCAAACCACGCTCTTCCTCTGAGGAGCTCTTGCCCCCATGCCAGCCTCCACCTCCTCTACCGCTGTCAGCACGCACTTCCTAGTCCCTCTCCCTCTGTCCTCCTCCCCATCCGAGGAGTTTTCAACATCCGTGTGGACAGCCGGGCCCAGCCTCTGACCCTACATTCCTTGATCCCTTGGTTTCTAGGACCTTCACCTCAATTCTAGCCACGCACTCTCAGGACAGGGGGCTGGGATCGGCCCCTCCTCGGGCCTCTCAGATCTTGCTTCCTGCTTCCTGCCCCCTGCCTCTGCTGTTCTCCAGGCCCCACTCCACCTTCTCTCACAGGGACCCGTGAACACCTCTCCTTCCTCCTCACTGGGCTGGCAAAATCAGACTCGGCCTGTCTCTCGGTCTCCGGATCCTGGGACTGAAGGGGGGCTGGAGGCAGCCGCCAAGCTGAGCACACTGGGCCACGGCCACTTCCTCTCGCCTCCGGCCGCCAGATCCTCAGCGTGGCCAGCACCACCCTCTCCCCATTCTTTCAAGCCTAGACTCCTGGAAAGCCCCTTGGCAGCTCCCATGCCCTTGGGCAGTTCCTGACTTCTAATGTTCTCCTCAAGTCCCCTACTCAACTCAGGCCCTTCACTGTTTATTGAGAGAATTAAGGGTCATCTCCTTTAACCTCCTGAAAATCATTATCTACATCCATTCCTCTCTTGCTCCCATTAGAACAAAAGACGTCCCTTCTCCTGTCCAGGGCTCCTCTCCCAGCTGCCCCTATCATCCCTTTGCCCACTTTCCTGGCATCTCCTCCTCAGCATACAGACCTAAACCCCACTCCGCTGACCCCGGGTCTCGCTCTTCCTCACTTGCTGCCTGCATCTCCTGGCCTCCTGTCATGCCACAGAAGCCACCCTGCCAAGGCCACCAGGGACCTTCTCATCTCCCCAGTCAGTTCCCCTATTTCCCAAGAACCTCTCTAGTGCATTTAGCTCATCCTCCTCTGCCATGGAAGTCTCCCTTCTCTGGCTTCTTAGCTGGTGCTCCCTGGACCCTCCCCCCCATCTCCCGCCCTCTGCTGATGTGGCAGTGTCCACGGACTCTGCCGAGGCTCCCCACACTGGATCCCCTTCCTTGGCTGAGCAGGCACACCCCAAAGCTCCACAGCCCCCACGGTCCACAGCTCCAGGTGCAAGTATCTGGCCCAAGGCTTCCAATCCGTATGGCCCACCCTCTGCTGGCATCTCCAGCTGAGAGGCGCACAGGGACCACCCACTCAACTTGTCCAACATGAAACTAAGTGTCTTCCTTCTCAAACATGCCCCACCCCTGGGGACCCTATCCCAGTGAGCAGCACCATCCACTGAGTCACCCAAACTGGAAGCCTGGAGGGTCCCTCCCCTCTCCCTCACCTGGACATCCAGTTAACAAGCCCAGGTAATTTACTATGCTATTTCTCTAATATCACAGCATCTCATGACCATCCTGAGGCCGCTACTCTCATCACATCTCGTCCACCATCATCTCTGTCTCAGGTCTCTCCAACAGACCTCCCAGCCACTCTCCACACGACATCAGGGAACCTTCTAAAGCAAATGGTGCATCCTGTCACTCTTGCCCTTAAAATGCTTCCTAACACCCTCAGGATGAAGCTCAACCTCCTGGGCAGGGCTTAGGGGGTCCTCCAGGGAGTGGAGGACCTCCCCCTCACCAGCCAGCTTCGGCCTCCATCCCCTGCTTATACCTTACAGCTCCCTGCACACTCCGTGCTGTTTTTCACCCCTGAATCCTCTGGTGCTGAGCCCTCTTCCTGGCATGCTGTTCCCTTTCATCTTTCTTTGCTTGGCGAATTCCTGTTGATCCTTTAAGACAATTCAGACCTCCCCTCCTCCCATAGGAGGGGAGGAGGGGAGGAGGGGAGAAGCACCCAAACTCCATCCAGGCGTACCACCCTGCGCTCTAGGGTCTGTGTCTAATGTTCCCCAGTTTCTCTGAATCCCAGCCCACCTCTGGATGCATAAGAAACACTAGTGCAGGGGAGACTACTAACACCCCCTCCCCCGTTCTTTTATATATATATTTTTCTTCAAACTTAAGTAACATGCTTTGCAAACACAGCTTCAATCCTTGCCTCCTAAGACCGTTCCTACGTAGGAATTCTGGCGGCCCCTTCCTCTGTCAAGTTCGCTGAGAAAATGAGTGAATGGATCAGGGAACTGGGGACGGAGGGTGGTGTGTGAATTAGCTACCTCCTGCCCACCTGTCTGACAGACGGGGTGACCCAATCCCCATCTTCGGTGCGTGAGTGGGTGGCAGGTGGCATGGGGGGAGGGCTGGAGCTCACCCAGGCAACTGCGGCCATCCGGCGCGGGCGCGTAGCCCTGGGCGCACGTGCAGCGGAAGGAGCCCGGGAGGTTCTCGCACCAGCCGGGCGAGCAGGGGTTCCCCTCGGCGCACTCGTTCACGTCTGCCGTGGAGAAGGCTCACCTAGGACTCTGCCCCATCGGATGGTGCACCGTGCCGGGGTGGGGGTGGGGGTCCCCTCCACCGGGAATGGGGGGACCTCTACTCCCGGGAGGCCCCGCCCCCGAGGCGACGCTCACCGCCAGGAGCCCCGCCCCCGCCCCATCCTTTGCCCGACTCGGCCCCATCGCGGGGGCTACTCCAGGACGGGCCCCGCCCCCTTGCCGCCAAAGCCCCGCCCTTTACCCTATCTGGGACCCAGGCCCCGCCCTCACCGCGGCAGGCCCCGCCCCCCTGGCTGCGGTAGCCGGGCTGACAGGCAATGCACTTGAAGCTCCCAGGTTTGTTCTCGCATCTGCTATCCGGGCAGGTGCTAGGGTCCCGGCACTCGTCGATGTCTGCACGGGAGGGAGAAGAGGAGGACACGTTTGGGGACATTGTGACCGGCCGGGCGCTCAAGGTCCTCGGCAGGGCCTCCTTCCGTCACAGATCAACAAGGAGAACCGAGCCCTCTGAGATCCCTGCGAGCTCCCGGCGTAGAGCTGGGCAGAGACAGGACTCCAGGGCCCCCGCCCCCACCCGAGGTCGAGGGACAGCTGAGGACCCCTCCCACGGCCGTCTGGACGGGGTCTCCCCCACCTTCGCACACGGGCGGTCGGGAGGCTTTGAGCCGGTAGCCGGGGTAGCAGTTGCACTTGTAGTGGCCGGGGAAGTTGAGGCAGAAGCCGCCGTCGCCGCACAGGTGGGGCTTGGCGCACTCGTTCAGGTCTGAGCGGGAGGAAGGGGGTGCGAGGGGAGTGCAAGGGGCGGCGGAGGGGATGACACCGCGGCCGGGAGGGGAGCCCCGCATCCACTAGCCCCAGCGCCTCCCGGCCCGGCCGCGCTCACCCACGCACGAGCGCCCCCCGGCGCCCACGTGCAGGCGGTAGCCGCGGTTGCAGTGGCAGTTGTAGGAGCCGCCCGTGTTCATGCAGATGCCCCTGCCGGCGCCGCACGGCTCCGCCTCGCACTCGTTCACGTCTGAGAAGGATGCGCGGGCGGGGAGACGTCAGAGCGGGGTGCGGAGCCAGGGCTGCCCCCGGGGCCACCCACCCGCCGCGCTCACCCACGCAGTAGCGGTGCTGCGGGTGCGACCGGTAGCCCGGGTTGCAATGGCAGGAGTAGTCCGAGGGGCCCGGGACGCACTCTCCGTGGCCACAGATGTTCTGGTTCAGTCGGCACTCGTCTGTCTCTGCGGGTGGGGGCCAGGGCAGGGGGCTGAGCAGGGAGTACTCACTTTCTGCCACGTCCCCAGGGCAGACCTCCATACCCCATTCCCAATGACCCCAACACCTGAGCCTGGTCACACCATGACCTCAGGGCCCTGTACACTCATCCTCCAGTCCTAGGATATCCTACACCTTCACCCAGATAGCCCCAATATTACCACCCCAGGTTGCCCCAAACCATAACTCCAGGTCCCTGACGGCCTCATCTCAATTCCAGGACCTCTGAAACTTCTGTCCCCACTCACTATACCCTGACCCCAGTCACCCCCAACCCAACCACATCCCCTCCGGGCCCCTCAGTCATCCCAATACCCCTACCCAAGGGGTTCTGAAACCCCCTTCTCCCCAGTCACCTCAATACCTTAAACCCTGCAGCCTCAGTCACGCCAATATTCTCTAGCCCAGTGACCCCAACACCTCTTAACTCAGGCACCTGGGCCCCCCATTCCAGAATGGCTGATTACCTCTCCCTCCCCAGGCAGGCAGGAGCCGTTTTCCTGGGAATCCTGGCTGCCCCATGCTGTGCATAGGTGGTCAGATCCAGGAACCCCCCTCACCCTCTCTGTCGCAGTCCCAGGTCTCCCTGCCTCCTACTTCTCCCTCCTTTTGGTCTCCCTCCTACATCCCCCCACCCCCAACAATGCAGCCCAGGCCTTGATGCTGAACTCTGCCCCACCCCAAACACACGTGGCCAGTGGGCTTTTGCAGGCTGTTCTCTTTGCCTCCAGGGCCTCTTCCTAGGTGTCCCTAACACCGCCTCCTCTGAGAAGCCTCCCAGGGGCCTCTTCCTCCACATTCCCACAGACCCCAGGGCTGTCACTGGGTGGTCCTAGCCTCCAGGGCAGCCACCTTCCACTCGACCCCCAGGAGCATATCTAGGCTCCGCGTTTCAATCAGGCTGGCAGCTCCCTTGTGGCTTTGGAGTCCACACAACATGGGTTTGAATCTGGCTCACCTGTGTGACCTGGGGCCAGTTACCTAACCTGTCTGAGCCCCAGTTTTCTCATCAGGAAATGAGGCTAACAGTGCCCACTTCACAGAGTATGAGAAGCTTAAATGATATTTAGTCTGTAAAACTCTTCAGTCAGTGCCTGGCACAGGGTGATGGCTCAGCCATAGCTAGCAATTATGATGATGCCCAAAACCCTGCAGACACTTGCCACAGCCTTTGGGATCAAACCCAAGCCTCTTAACAAGGCTCCATGCACCCGCCCTCCCCTAGTTCAGAAACACTGATCTGTGTGTGGTTTCTCCCTCCTCCTTCGGGCCTTTGCCCAAACTTCACTTGGAATGTTCTTTTCCCCAATCTGCATGCCCATTCCTCCCCGACTTCTCCTCGTTAATTTCTAACAATCTTTAAAGCTCTGCTCGGGAAGGCTTCTCTCATCACCACCCCACCTATTATCACAACCCCCAGACCTCCTTCCTTCTTCTGATTTATTTTTTTCAGCTTTTATGAGACATACTAGATTTTTACTTATTGACCTGTTTGTCTGTCTACTCGGCAAGGACAAGGGATTTCTGTCTGTTATTGTTTACTACTGTATCCCTAGCACATGACAGTGCCCGGCACACAGGAGGTGCTCAATAATTATTTGTTGAATGAATGAATGAATGAATGAATGCTTTCAGACTGAGCTGACCACCATAATACCCGGATCATTTGAGGGCAGAGTGGGGTTTCTGCCGCACACCGAGGCTTCCCCAGAGCCCAGCCCACGGCCTGGCACACAGTAAGTCCTGGATAAGTGTTAGCGCTCTCGAATGACTGGAAGGTGGGGTAGAGAAGAAGGAAAAAACTGCTATGGGGGCGTGGCTTAGCCAGGGCGTGACCTAAGTGGGCGGGTCTTACCTGTAACTTGAGTAGGGGCGATCTCCACGGCACTGCGGGACGGCGGCAAATCGGGCAGGAACCAGCGCATGGTGGGCGGCGAGGGCCGGGAGATCAGCTCTGCGGGCGGCAGCGCACACCCGTCAGGGGATGAGAAGGGTGGGAGGGCCGCCCGTCTCTCCGCAGCTCATCGGCCGGGAACTTCACACCCAGCTTCAGCGCCCCCTGGTGCCTAGGTTGGGAACTTCCCCCCGCAGTGACAGCCCTGGAGGACTGGTCCCTTCAGTGCCCAGCTCACCAGGGTAGGGCCGGGCCGGAGATGTGGTGGCGGTCGGGTGGCTCTGCTGCGCTGCCTGCTCCTCGATCACTGGCTGCGGGTGACAGCAGCATCAGCCATCTGTGTGTCCTTCGCCTCCCCGCCCCTCCCGCCTGGGCTCTCATACTCACTGAGTCTGTGCTCACCCCTAGAAGGGAAGAAGGGGGGGGCCATTAGGTGTTGGGCTGGGAGAACGGAGTCAAGTCTGGGGTCGGCAGTTGGGTGTTTGTGGTTAGGGTCTCTAGGAGTTCAACGATCATGTCTCTGGGTCAAGTGTCAAGGGTTAGATCCTGGGGTCAGGGAGTCTTTCCATCACAGGTCAGGGGAGCAATGGTTGGACAAGGTCCTTGGGTTACAGAACAGGGGTTAGGTTATAGCTAGGGTCAAATCCCTGGGTCAGGGGTCAGATCTAGGGGCAGCATCTGGGCTGGATCAATGCCCTGGTCTGGAAATCAAAGTGGTTCCCGGGATCAGAGGATTGGATCTGGAGGGTCAGATCCTGTTGATCAGGGGTCAAATCGTGGGGTTACAACCTCACTTAGGGGTCAGAGGGTCAGCTCTGGGGGTCAGTGGTTAGCTCAGGGATTACGAGTTAGAAGTTAGACTCTGAGATCATATCTGTGGATCGGGGTGAAGAGGTCAGATCTAGGGCTTCAGCATCTGTCAGGAAACAGAAGGGGTCAGGCCAGACCTCTCTCTTCCTCTGCATCCTCAGGCGGCGGTGCCCGGCTGGGGCTCTCAGGGAGCTGCTGAGGCTTGGGGGGCCCGTCGGGGTGCAGGAAAAGAGAAAAGTCGCTTTCGCCCTGAATGGTGAGTGTCTGGTGGGAGGTGAGGATGTGGTACCCCTTCCCAGCTGGACAGATCTCCTTGAAGGCAGCTGCGGCCAGAGCAAAGGACAGAGAAGTCAGCATAGCCTGGACAAGCACACAGACAGCCCTGCGGCCCCACACGCCCCAGGCTCACCGGTGCCGTCAGCCGGGCACCGCTGGCACCTGGCACCCCAGGCCTTGCCGACGCTGCAGCAGCAGAGCTGGCGGGTGAGGCGTGTGGTCAGCGGGTGCTGGCACTGGTGCTCGGGGCTCACGAGGCGGAAGCACAGGCTCTTCTCCTCCGGCTTGTCTGCTGCGGGAGCCAGTGGTGGGCATGGGCATCGGGGCCTGAACACTGCCCATGTCCCTCTTCCCAGCTGCTCCAGACCTTGCCTCTCTGGCCCAGACAAGCTGTGATCCTCATGTGGCCCCTGATTCCGTATGACCCTGAACCTGTGTTACTCTGACCTCATGTGATCCCTGAAACCTCTCTGACCACTGACACCTTGACCCTGGATTCTAGCTGCTCTAGACTTTATCCCTTCTATCCATCAAGCCCGTGATCTCATATGACCCTGACTCCACATAATCCCTGATCCCATGTGACCTCCACCCCCAGATCTCATCTGACTCCTGACCCCACTGATGCCTGGTCCTATCTGTTCTCGGCCTCACTCCTCCTGCAGTCAACCTTTGACCACACTCTGACCTCTGATCCTTACTGCTTGGAGCCTTACCCCTCCCACCCATGACTTGTGACCTTCCAGGGTTCCCCAGTCTCACCAATGCACTGTGTGCGGGAGGGGCCCAAGCTATGGCCAGGTGGGCAGACGCAGCGATAGGAGCCAGGGTTGTTGAGGCAGTCACCATGGCGACACATGCCTGGCATCGCGCACTCGTTGATGTCTGTGGTAAGCAGGAGTTTGGTCCCTCCAGTCTGGGGCCATAGGGTGACAGCAAGCTGCTCCAAGAACCTCAGGGTCCTGCCCCAGCCCTGCCTCCTCCCTCACCCACCTGGGGACCTCCTCCAGTGACAAGTGGCCTGCCCCTCCAGCCCCCAGAATCTCCTGGCCGGCCGTACCCTGGCAGTGGGTGCTGTTGAGCCTCTTGTAGCCCTGAGGGCAGTCGGCGCCCACCTCCCCACGTACAGGGCCTGGCTTCTGCACCCCTGTGTCTGCAGAGAGAGGAGAGCGTGGCAGGGGAGGACACTGGGGGACTGCAGGGAGGGAAGGGAGGGCACTGGGATGCTGAGAGGAATCTGGTGGGCAGGGAGAGGCTCAAGCTGCATGAGGCTGGGACCCCCCGCTGCAGGGCAGGGAGCGGTGGGGGGGTCCCTGGGCCCAGGCACTCACACTGCAGCTGGGGGCACTTGTGGCACTTGCTCTGGCCCCAGGCGGTGCCGATGCTCCCGCAGCAGTCTTCCTGCTTGGTGAGGCCAGGGAGGGGATTGCTGCCACACTAGGGGGAGGAGGATGGGCAGGGTCACAGAGCGCCCAGCCCCCACCGGCCTCCCTCCTGAGGCCCTTTTCCTCCTCCCGCACTCAGCTTGCGGACCCCGGTTTGGAGCAATCCCTATGAGCTGGGACAGGGCAGCCCCGAGGGACGGAAGGGCCGGTCCAGCGGGGACTGTGGATTCACTCACTGGCTGCTTGGGCAGCGTGTCCTGGAAGCAGCGGCCCAGGGGCTTCTGGGTGGGTGGCCGGGGGTGCGGGGGCTTGGGGTGCGGCAGCAGGTGCTGGGAGGGGGCCGGGCCCTCAGCGTTGGGCCCCTCGATGCGGTGCACTTGGACGGAGGCCTCGGGCGGGTGGTGGACACGCACGTTCACCACGGGGGGCGGGGCCTGCACTGGGGGGCGGGGCACGGTGGCCTCAGGGCTGCCCCGCACCGCGGGCGGCAGTGCGGAGCTCCTCCAGGGCTGGCCTCCGCCCGGGTCCCGCCATCCCAGTGCCCCCCCACCTCGGCTTCCCCGGGTTTGCCCGACACCCGGTACCTTCCGCTGAGATCTGGCCTGGCCCGAGGGGCACCAGGAAGGCCGCGTGCTGGGCCGGGGGCCCCTCCCCGGGCCCCGGCGGATCGGCGATCACCTGGACCGCGTAGATGGCGTGCTTGCTGGCCACAGACTCGCCCTCCGGAGCCAGGGGCGGCAGCGCGCCTGTGGACAGGGCCCCGGCCCGGCCCAGCCCAGGGCCTGAGCCGCCGGTGCCCCCGCCAGCTCCTCCAGCGGGCACCTGGCAGAAGCGACCGGTGAAGTCCGGGGGACACAGGCACTGGTTTCGGGAGGAGCACTGGCCGCCGTTCATGCAGGGCAGAGGGCACACCACTGGGGAGGGGAGGTGGATCAGGGCCCAGGCCGACGCCCACCCGCAACCCCCAGGCCCAGCCCCTCACCCACATCCTGTCTCTGTCCCCCTCCTCCCTACTTCCTTGCCACCCACTGGTGCTGCCCTCCTTGGGAAGCTGGTGTTTGTAACACATCACATGCACAGAGAAACTGCCCTCTGGGTCCCCCAACATCCTGCTACCCATGTTGGCTTCTGGAGTCTTGTCTTGGACTTAAATCTTAGGTAGGAGGCCATGTGCCAGCTGTGTGGCCCTGAGCAAGTCACTTCCCCTCGCTGTGCCTCAGTGTCCTCATCTGTGGGGATGTTGTGTTTATTACCTGAGGTAGTGCCTGCACAAATGCTTAGCACATTGTCTGGTACACAGACGGTGCTTAATAAGTAGTCGTAAATGATGACGATGATGGAATAGCCTTTCCCTCCTCTGGCTTTCCCTTCTGGCCTTTCTTGGGAATCCAATCTCTATCTGGTGCTTCCTCCTAACTTCTCCCCCTGATTCAGGCCTCAGCCCTCTCTGGGCTCTCCCCTTCTCCCTCCCTCTGTCTTGCCATCCCAGGGCCCACACCTCACCACTGCCATCTCTAGCTACACCTCTCTGGGACCTCTCTTGGGCACCTCCACACCATCAGAAATCAGCATCCTGCCTCCCCACCTCCTTGGACCTTGGATCACCACTGGGAATCCCTGCCTGCCCCGGTCATTCATAGCTGAGCCTCCAGGCTCCATCTCTCCTGCTCCCACCCACCCAGTTCCGGCCTCTGTACTGTCTAATGAATCCATCTTCCCTCCTCCCCATGCCCTGTGTGCCTCTCCCCGCCGTCCCCATCCCAGCACCCCCAAAGAAACCTGCCGCAGGCAAAGCCCTGGCAGAACCACACCCCTGCTCACACTCGCTTCCTTGCCGGGACTTTTAAGGCTCTCCATGGCCCAGAACAAATCTTTCAGCCCATCCCCCTCTGCGCTTTCCAGGCGCACCCCATGCCGCAGGGCTCATCTCCCTCCTCCTGCCAACATGCCCCATCTTCTGCCGCCATGGCTTCATTCATGCCATTCCCGCCACCTCAGAGCCCTGTTCCCTCATCTCTACATATTCAAATCTTATCCTTCCAGGCTCAGCTTCTCTCCCAGGAAGGGAAGCTTTCCTCATATCCCACCCACCCCTGTTCCCTCTCCTGAGTTACCACCCTTTGCCCCCAGGGCACTCTGGCACTTGACTTCGTTATATTTCTGTCTGTCTCCCACACCATAAAGCGTGCTTTGGAGGGCAGGGCCGGGGCTGCCTCAGCCCTGGGTCCCAAAGGAGGTGCAGGGAGAATAAATGGAGTGACTGAGAGGATAGGACCTGTGTCTCTCTGTCACACACGCTCACATCCGACATCCAGACTTGGGGTCCTGAGCTCACACACCAGCCCCAGCCCCTCTCCTGCCTGCCCCATGGCTGCCCTCACTTCCCAGGATGGGAAGGTGGGGGTGCTGCTCTCCTGGACACCCGAAGGGCCTCAGAGGGACAGCCCACATCCATGGCCATCAGGGCCTGGCTAAGAGCATCCCAGCCCAGCCCATCCTGCTGGGCTTCTTGGGGCCAGGACTCTCAGGGCAGAAGGGGTGTGTCCTGGGCCGGGGGAAGGCAGGATCCTCTCCTTCCTGCCTCCCAGTGAGTCACCCATAGCGGTGAGGGTGACCTCCCAGTGACACCCGCCCACTGTGGCCTGGGCACAGAGCCTGGGGGATGTGGGCAGCACGGATGGAGACAGCAGCCGGGGTAGGATAGCCAGGGGGCCTGGGAGACCGGGCCCACATACACTCACACGCACAGTCATCTCGTCACACACACACATGCACAGACTCATTCTGACACCAACACAGGCTCACATAAACACTCCCATAGTGACTGGAGACACGCACCCAAGACAACACAAAGAAATATGTACTTAATGACAGTGTGCCACTCTAAAGCCCATGCACACCCCGTGTGTGTGCCATGGCACACACACATGTCTCATGAGATCTGGGAACCACATCTGTCGGTGGGCTTCCTTAGGTCTGTGAGTAGCGGCTATGTGAGTACAGGAATGTGTAAGAGGGGCTGTTTCGCTGGTGCCATCCTGGGCCCGGCCTAATTACCCTGTCCGGGAGAGTAATTACTGCTGGGACACCTCCCCCAGCCTGGGCCACAGGGCCCTGGGGGAGGAGAGCTGAGCCCCAGGCCTGGCTCTTTGAAGAGAGACGCTGGGGAAGGGGGGGTCTCCCGGTGGAACTGGGGAGTCAGAAGAGCTTGCTGGGGGGAGACTCTGAGGCAGAGCAGTTGAGAGCTTATACGGGAGGGACAGAGGGGGCACCAGGAAAAGGGGGGACGGAGGACCCAAACCAGCCCCTACCTCCAGGCCTGCACCCTGCTCTGCTCGTTAGGCCTCAAACCCCTCCCCTCCCAGACCTTGCCAGTAACTAACTCCCTCACCCCTGCCCTGCCCTCAGCTCCTCCTCCCAGAGAATGCAGGTGTCTCCCCCTGGCAGGCCCTACTGTAGATATTTTTTTAAAGACTTTTCCTGTTTCTTCCAGCAGATCTGTTTCTCAGGGGAATATTTATCCCTTCTCTGAGACCTCCTGCCCCCAGCTGCCATCCCTCAAAAGACCTGTGTGCTGACCCTGTCTCAGAACCCAGCACCTTCCTAGGGCCTGGGTCATCCAGGACCCCAGCAAACCCCACGCCTTAGGCCTCAACCCTAACCCAGAGCTGTGAAGTCCTGGGGTCCCTGCCGCCCCCCCCAGTTCTGGCCCCAGGACTCCAGCCTCCCAAGCCCCCTGATGCCCGTGGGGCCCCAGGCCCCGGGAGCTCTGCTCTCTGTACCCCTGGTCCTCAGGGTCATGTGGCCTCCTCTGCCATGTATCCCGCTTGTCCTGGTGCCTGCCGTCCCCGCTTCCCCCAACCGTGCCCCCGGCCCTCACCCACGCGGAAGCCGGAGCCCGTGAGCGTGTCGGTGCTGTGGCCGTTCTCTCCGATGAGCGTCATGTTGGAGCCCTGCTGACAACTGTCCCGACACTGGCCCTTGAGACAGGTCCGCTTGCAGATCACGGGCGCAAAGACCACCTTGAAGCGCTCGCGGGCTAGCGCCCCGCCCCCGCCGGCGCCCCGCTCGCCCGCCGGCCCCCCCTCGGCCCCGCCGCCCGGGCCCAGCAGCAGCAGCAGCAGCAGCAGCGCCAGCCCCGCCGCCCCCGCCCCGCGCATCTCAGGGGCCGGGCCGCCAGCAGCCCCGCGGGGCCCGGGCATCCGGGGCCGCAGGACCCGGGGGGCGCGCCCGGGCGGGGGCTATGGTCCCGGCGCCCGAGGCGGGGAGCAAGCCGGGGGCCCGGGACAGGGGTAGAGAGGGCAGCGAGGGAGGGAGAGGCACGGAGGAAGCGCGCGGGCAGGGGACAGCAGGCGGGGGCCCGGTGAGAGGCGAGAGATGGAGGCTGGATTGCGGGGAGCCCAGAAACTTCCACCGGCCCGGGAAGGAGCCCAGCCACTAGCCGGGCCGGGGGCCTGCGGAGGCCCCAAACTGCGGCCGGAGCGAGGAGGCCAGAGCAAGTCGAGGCGGAGAGGAGGAGCGAGGGGGAGGAAGGCCAGCGGCCGGCCCCTGCGCGCCTCCCCCGGCCGGGCTGGGCTCGCGGCCGCCGGGAAGCAGGGAGCGCGCGGGGCGGACGCAGGGAGAAGTGAGCAGTTGTTTTCCCTGGCGGGAGCGCGGCGCGGCGGCGGCGAGGGGGCTGGGACGCTGGCCCCGGGCCAGGGAGACAGCTTTTTTCTGCTGCAAGCGTCGTCGCCGCCGCCCGGAGCAGCGAGGGTGTGCGGGCGGGTGGAGGCCGGGGGGCAGGGGGAGGCCGGGGGAAGGCCGGGGTGGGGGGGGAGCCGGCTCCACCCCAGATGCCCGCCCCCGCCGGAACTCGCCGCCGCCGCCGCGCGGGGCCCTGTCCAGAGGGCCCTCACCTGGGACCGCCGGGCGGCCCGCAGATTCCTCCGGGCGGGGCGGGGAGGCCGGCCTAGACCTCTGCCCGCCGCATCAAAGCGGGAAACCGAGGCCGGGGAGGAAGACGGGCCTCGCCGGGGTCACGCGGACGATGGGGGGCCAGGTGGGACTGGAAGCCAGGCCCTCAGCCCTTCCCCAGCCTCCCTTGCGCATGGAGGGGTCTTACCCCTCTCCCCCGCCAAAGTCATTTCTTATCAGTACTGGTCCTCCACTCCTCTCTGGGGAGAGGACTCAAGGAGTGGGCACCTTTGGGCCAGGGGCTCAGCCAGGTGCCAGGAAAAACCGTGGGTCCAGAAGAAGAACAGAAAGAACAAAGCTGGAAACCCAGCTTCCCTGCCAAGCCCCCTCTAAATGGCTTCCTGGTGCCCACCGTGCCTCCCCCCTTCGCCTTGTCTGGCCCTGCTGGCGGGCCTGGCTCTGGGCCTCAGACACTCGAATCGCCAAGGTCTGAGCTCAGGGCCTGGCCCCCTTCCCAGGCTAACAGCCGGGAGGAGGGGGGTGCTGCTTGAGGGCCCAGGGGGCTGGGGAGGGGCACAGCAGGGCCCCAGGGCAGGGGTTGGCAGGGGCTGAGGAGGGGCCTTCAGTTTGGTCAAGGCTGGAGAGGAGCCAGGCCTGTCCCCTGGTCTGGAAGGGAGGCCCTGGGGGGCTGCAGTGTCATGGGGCCCAGGCCATAGGGAGGGGGCCTGGCCAGGAGACCCCAGGATTCAGTCACTGACTCAGAACTCAGCAGGGGGTGGGTGTGACCAGGATACATCCAGAGCAGGACAGTGCCAAATCAGGGTGGCACCAAACCCTCGCCTGTTGGGCACTAGGGGTGGCAGTCTGGCTGAGGGGTGGGGGTGGGTTAGGGACTTACCTTCAGGTAGACCTGTGCAGGGAACTCACGGTTTTTACATTGCAGGTGGACTCATTTGAGGGGACTGAGGGAGACCCTTTAGTGGAGCTCCAGCCGGAATTGCTCAGGGGCCGGGTTCATATAGCCTGGTGTTGCAGGGGTGGGGTGGGGCGATCCCATGTCCCCAGGGGACCCCTGAGTCTGGAATCCAGGAGAGGGTGTGAGGGGCAGCCCTGCCCACTCTCAGAACTGGGGTCACACTGAGGCTGGGGATAATGCTGAGTGCTTACCACCTGCCAAGGGTAGGGCTGAGCATTCGACAGTCATTTTTTCCTCACCCTCATCTGAACCTGACCCTCCTCTGGCCAGAACAGGCTGTGGCTCACCTTGGAACACAACACAAACAGACCAGGGCTGGAATCTTAATCTCTCCAAGGCTCAGTTTTCTTTCTTTCTTTCTTTCTTTCTTTTTTTTTTGTGAGGAAGATTAGCCCTGAGCTAACATCTGTTGCCAATCCTCCTCTTTTTGCTGAGGAAAATTGGCCCTGGGCTAACATCCGTGCCCATCTTCCTCTACTTTATATGTGGGACACCTGCCACAGCATGGCTTGACAAGTGGTGTGTATGTTCGGGCCTGGGATCCGAACCTGCGAGCCCCGGGCTGTCAAAGCAGAGCACGCAGAGCACGCAGAACCCAAACACTACGCCGCCGGGCTGGCCCCTAAGGCTCAGTTTTCTCACCTGTGAGATGGGGATCTGTTCATTCAACAAACTGAGAACCTGCCACATGGCACGCTCTTGCTAACAAACAGAACCAACCCCTGGCCTCCTGGAGCTTCTGTCCTGGAGGAGACAGACGTGACAAATCAGTTCACATATGTCTGTGGCTACAACAGAAGTCAGTGCTGTGACAGAGAAGAGCTGGGTGCTAGGAGCAAGGGCAATGGTGGGACCTGGAGGTCCAGGAAGCCCTTCTGACAAAGGGACTTCTAAGCCAGAAGCTGGAGAAGGAGCAGGACGCAGCAGGGTGCACAGCCGGCCAGCCGGAGGGAAGCCTGTAGGAGGCCGGAGGGATTGAGGCGACTGTGATGCAGAGACCATTTATGAAGGGGCACACAGAGTTGAGAGATGGGAAAGAGAGTCAGTTCTTGTAGGAACTGAGAGGAGGCCAGCAGAGCAACAGGGTGAGAGGGAGGAGAGCAGCCGGAGGTGGGAGGCCACAGGGAGGAATTGGGGTTTTATTTTCATTGCGATGGGACTGTATCGGGGTGCTGTTGCCATCCTCCCAGGAGGGATGATGTAGCTTGGATGCGCTGTAGATGTATTTGGGAGGTGGACTCTGGAGGCTGGGTTTTGGAGGGTACCAGAGAGGCATGTGGCGCGAATGGCTCCCAGGTTTCTGGCCTACATCCCTGAGTGGGCAAGGAAGGTAATAGAAGAGAGGAGGACACGAGGAAGGGTCTGAGCACTGTTTGGGGCCTGCTGAGTTTGAGATGCTTGTGTCATCCAAGTGGAGACGTCTCAACCCCGGGGTCTGGAGCTCAGACGGGACGTCTGGCCTGGAGACAATGACTCGGCGCCCTCAACATACAGGGGCATTTAGGGTCATGGAAAGGATGGGCTCAGCTCAGGGGAGAAGAGGGCCGGGGGCGAACCTGGGAGGTCACCACTCCCAGGTCAGGGGGAGAAGGCAGAGGCAGAAGTGACTCAGAAGGAGCAGCTGGAGGGAGCAGAAAGGAAAACCAGGAGTGTGATACAGGAAGAGCCAAGGGGAGAGAGTGTTTGGGAGGAGGGTGTGGCCAACAGTGTCTGATGCTGCTGAGAGTAGGATGGGGGTAATGACAGCCCTGCTTTAGGGGCTGCTGAGGGGACTCAGTGACATGGAGCAGTGATAGCAAGCACCCCGCCCTGTGCGTGGCCCCTACTGAGTGCCCCACAGATGTTACTTATTGTCATCGCCAAACTCCTGGTGCTCATCGGGGTCCCAGCAGGAAAGAGAGGGCACCGTCATGCCAGTGATGGAGGGGACTAGAATGGAGAGACTGTTTACAAAGGGCTGAGGGGACCACCACGGCTGGTGGAGCCCTGGGACTAGCAACAGAGGCAGGCCTGAGCCCCGCTGAAGAGACTAGAAGAGAGAGCCATGACCCATTAACCTAACCGCGGCCAGCAGCGCTGGAGCTGCAGGAGTGGGCTGCCCCACAAGAGCTGTGGCTTCAGCAGAGACCTGCAGCTCCTGTCCACCGGCGGCCTACAGGAAGGGAGCTGGACAGCTAAAAATTACCCTCGTCTCCTGTCCAGCTGGGCCTCCCAGGAGCTGAACCCTAAAGGAAGCTTGAGGGCATAGGAGCCTGGGGGGTGCAGCTCCTGAGGTTAGCCTCGTGGCACAGAGCCGAGGGGACAAGGACGCAGGGTGGATCTTCAGGGCAGACTGTGACAATCCAACACGTGTGGATCCTTGGCCTATCAACCTTTTCTAGCCTCGTCTCCCGTGTCACCACACCCAGCCACTTCACCTTCCTAGAATCTTCCGGCACACTCTCATTCCTCCTAGATGTCAGTTCTCCTGTCAGCCCAAGGAGACCATGGCCTTTGTGCTCCTTCCAGATCATTTCTGCTGCCCAACAGGTCTCCCCACCACCGCTCTGCCTGCTCTGGTCCCTCCTGGTGCCAGAGTCCTTTTAAAATGTAATTGCAACCATGCTACTCCCCTGCTTACAAAGCCTCCAGTGGCTTCCCTTTGCTCCTCTGGGCTTGCAAGATCCTCTGGGCCTCAGAGGTGCTGAGCCCGTTCCTCAGCCTGGGGGTGATCCTTGGTGTCTAGGGTTCCTGCCTCTGGGAGGCATTTCCATCCTCTTTCTCTAAAACAGCCACCCTCTAAAACAGGCCCTCGGGGTAACATCACCTGTTTGTTTCCTGCTGGTCCTCATCACAGCCTAAAATGTGCTTCTGTATGGGTTTGTTTACTGTTTATTGTCCGTCTCCCGGCCCTCCCAGGAGGCACAGCCTTGTCCCTAGATCCTAGCACAGGGCCTTGGCACTCAGAGGGTGCTGAAGTTTGTTGACTGACTGAATGGAATGAGACCACAGAGCGCTCACCACTTACTGTGCTCTTTACACTGTTACCTTATTTCATCCTCGCAGCGACCCTGAGGCTCTGATGAAACAATTAGACCCAGGTCATCTGGTGAGTAAGATGCGGGAATTGATCTGAAGCCCGCCAGATCCCAAACCCATGCAGTGCTCCTGGGAGGCAGGAATGAGAGGGCTCCCACAAATGTCCTCAAGATGGGGGGGTGCCCCTAAGGGCAACGAGGGGCTTTGCTGAATGGGACAAAGAGGAGCCACAAGACCCAAGCCCAGGAATGCTTGAATGTTAGGGAAGGGCCCTTCATGCAGAGTGGTTCTTGAGGCCCAGAGAAAGCAAAGGACCTGGCCGAGGTTATACAACTGTTCAATGGCAGAGCCAGGGCTCAAACCGGGGCTCCTGATGCCTCGTTGGCTGCATTGGCTGCACAGGGCAGCAGCAGCAGCCTGCATAACAGAAGTCATGTTTCAGGAGGCAGTGAGCACAGCCGTTGTTTTCTTTTCTTTTCTTTTCTTTTCTTTTCTTTTCTTTTCTTTTCTTTTCTTTTCTTTTCTTTTGTGAGGAAGATTAGCCCTGAGCTAACATCTGTCGCCAACCCTCCTCTTTTTTGCTGAGGAAGACTGGCCCTGGACTAACATCCGTGCCCATCTTCCTCCACTTTATATGGGACACCGCCACAGCATGGCTTGACAAATGGTGCGTTGGTGCGCGCCTGGGATCCAAACTCTGGGCCGCCACAGCAGAGCATGCACACTTAACCCCATGCCACTGGGCTGGCCCCATACAGCCATTGTTTTCTGGTGTTAGATTTTCCTGGCTGCATCCTGTACCAGCTGTGAATTGGGA